CGGATAACTTATAACAATAATCTACATTATAAGTTTATCACTATTGCAAGTTGTGACATAATCACTCAAATATGACGGAGGTTTCCTGTCACGTTTTGGGTGATTTACACTTTCATCTTGCTGTAATTCTGGTAGTATCTGATTGTGATCAGATTTCTCTATCTGTTGGTCAGGCATCTCATTTCTTGTAGAGCTTTGAGGATTTCAGATCACTCTTGTCCCTAGATGGACTAAAGTCATCACTTAAAGTATCCTCTGTCTGGGTTTGCTGTTCACCAACCCTCTTTGTAAGAAACTTCACAATCCTGTATCTCATTACTTTTCCAGTCTCTGGAAAATAGACTAGATAGGCCGGGCTGTTCCTATCAAAACCTACAAATACACCTTTAGTACATCATGGATCTAGTTTTCGTTTGTCATTGTCATACGAATAGCATTTGGAGCCAAAAACTCTCATTTTAGATAAGTTTGGCCTTTTACCGGTAAGAGCAAAATATGGTGTTTGTTTTAAGCGCTTGTTATAACATTTATTGTGGACGTATGCAGCTTGCATTACTGCATATGGCGACATTGATTTACCAATATTTGATTCAATGAGTATACACCTTCCCATTTTGAATAGGGTTCCCCAATGGTGTTCGGCTGTGCCATTTTGATGAGGAAAATCAGGTGATGAGTTCTCATGTTTTGTTTGATTTTACTTTCTCTTAACAATCCCTTAAACTTTCCAGAAATGAACTCACCACCATTGTCTGATCTTAACTGTTTAACAGTACCAAATAGTGCTGAATTGGCAAGGAACTTCTTTGTGGCCTCAACCGTATCACTTTTATTCTTAAGAAAATACACAAAGACAACACCAGAATAATCATCAGTAAATGCTATGCTGTATCCGAATCCCTCCTTTGATATGGGTTCAATTGGGCCAGCAAGATCTGTGTGTACTAATTCTAAGGGGATATTAGACCGTATATGGAGTTTTCTATTTCTTCTTCCTTAAAGTGCACGTATCACAATCTGGCCTGATGGTGTTATCATTAACTTTCATACCATCAACTACTTTCTCAAGCTTCACTACATCCTCATAATTGCAGTGACCTAATATATTATGCCAACCCTTTAAATCACTAGTATAATTAACTGAATCAGTGTTTTCTATTTCACTATAAAGTCCAACATGTAGGTTATACGGTTTACCGTTTACCGAACTTTGTATCATTCTCGCTGATTAATTCTGCTGATTCTGGGTGGAACACAACACTTGCACCTTTCTCTGTTGCTGCCTGTACCGAAAATATATCTTGAGGGAAAGAAGGTATATATAGAGCGTTTATCAGTGAAATGTTAATATATCTCCCTGTAGAGTCCAAGATTGGGAAATCCACATTTCCTCTTCGGAATGCTACGTCGTTAGATCGGGTTCCATCTGCTAGTTCAATGTAATGTGTATCTGGTTTGAAAGATTCGTCAAAACAGGAAAATTTGGACTCATCCGTAATAATGTGAGCAGTGGCGCCACAATCTACCAAGAGTTTATTTGGTATGCCATCATTTCTCTTATTCATGCCCTGTCCTGCTCTTATCTGTATGTTCTTCGGCTTTTTAGCTTTGTCATCTTCATTCTTATGTTGCTGATTTTTAGATTTGCGATGGCAGGTAGCGTCGCTGTGAGTGAAACTTTGGCAAGTTTTGCACCAATGTTTCGTTCTATGTTTATTTTGGGCACTGACGGGAGAAATGACCAGGCTGACCACATGAGTAACACTTTTTCTTCTCTTTGTTATAAGCTTGAAGGATCGAGTCATTTGTTACTCTCGCATGTTCTGTATCTTCAAGACTTCGCTATCAAAACTCTATTTAAACATGTTGTACTCACATGGTGTTCCAATGTAGTGAAAGAGACATTCACTGCAGCAATAAACTTCCTCTAAGATTTCTTTGAATAGTAGAGGACTTACACTGTAAAATGAATCTAATGCAGCACCACTGCGAATTCCCTTATCACAAAGATCTTCAAACATTTTCATCTCCTCTCTAATGGCCATCTTTTGGTGCATATTAAAGTGGTTTTTATGTTCCTCATACTTTAATTTTTCAATTTCTGCTCATCGCCAGAAATCGTGGACATTCGCATTTTAATTAGCTATCTAGCCCCAGGCCATTAGTCATCTCAATATTTCCAAATTTTATAAGAAACATGTATTACTTTTTGTCTTTGAACAAATTTATTTCAAACATATTAAAAGAAAAAAGAAAGGTGCAATGCTGGAACAAAAAATATATTATAGAGATAGGTATTAGGCGGTAACTAACATAATAATCCTGAATCATATGTTTCCTTTTACAGCTCGAAATTACAAACTACAGGCCTGGCATTTTGTGTGATATAGAAATAAAATATAGACATCAAAGATGTCAAAACATAATTTTTTTCACCTCTGGCTAAAATCCCGATGTTTCCTTTTCTTGACCAAGATCTGGCGTTAAATACACCCTTGTTAAACAATATAAACAGCTTTGCCAAAGTGCGCTTTTTAAACAATGATTTTTTGGCAAAAAATTGGCCAAAATATTCTAGAAATACATCGTTTTAAAGCCCATCTCTCCTACCCTTTTTTTTATGTCTGTGAATTTACTTCTATGGTGTTGTTCAGCGGTAATATCTTTATTTAAACTAATATACTTCATTCGTAACGATAAATATTACATTTATCTTGCACAAGATCGCACGAAACTTTAGAGTAAAAATTGAACTGAATATTTTAATATTAATATCATGTCGGATTGTTTATCATTGCAAGAAAGATTAAAAGCCAATTATAAAATCCATCTTCAAGGGGAAACTTCCTGTTTAAGATATGTAAATGATATAAGATCTGGTCATTGTGTTGTACTCAAAATATCTCAAAAAGTGTTCCTAAATGGCGGAATTTAAAACTAACTATGACAGGTATTTCATACGAAGATTTTCTAGCACTCGGTACCTTCGACTTAAAATTGAGGGATTTTTGAAAAGGCAAGAAATGCATCCAGTGTGTTTTTCACAATAATGTATTTTAGCATAAATAAGTCCAAACTGATATAATCTTTTCTACAACATTTATTAGACAACGATTTGGTTAAAGCTATTTCTTCAGCTTGGTGGGCATTTGACTGGATTTGAGAAAGCCAGAGTTACCCCATTCATGCACATTCTGTTATATCACATACCAATGTTCCTAAAGCAAGATAAATCCATAAAGATCTTTACAGGTCAAGGCATTGAGAAGATCAATGATGTTGTTCAATCATACTAAAAGTAACCGGCATGATGCATGTAAAGAGGCAGTGTAAGCACTAAAGAAAATTGACAACTTGCAGGACTTTGAAAGAAAACCTCATGCATTTAACAAGAAAGATAATGACTATTGGTCAAATGACATATTTTTGAGCAAAGAAGGAAAAGGCCACGCTTATGTGTTGACTTTACAGAAAATGCACTTTTGAGACAGATAGAATGGGTAAGAAATTAATTGTGCATGTTCCAGAGTAAAAAGTTTGACAAAAAGCCTTTATAAGTACATTCTAAACAACCACTGCACAAAAGTGCCCTAAAATAGTTTAATACCTTAAAAGTGATGGAGTTAGATAATCAAAGGGCTCCCAGTTGCATGTTTCAAGTGGCCATCCTGTCCATTTGACCAAATATTCCCAATTCTAAATCATAAGCGAAGCGAGGGTTTAATTATTATAAAACTACATTTCAATGAAATATATATTTCAGATGTATATAAAACCTCAAAAATTCAAAATGAATAACAAAACGAACAACTGCATTAAACTTCTAAAAAGTAACTTACATGCGCAACCTTTCTCCAAGAAATTATTCTTTCTACAGCAAAGAACTTTCCTTTCGGTTTCCTTCCAGTTTTACACATAATTTCAGGTGATAAATTGTTTAATTCCTTATAATTTATAAAAACACTCCTTCGACGACACGCCATTTTGAATTTTCAAGAGGGAATAAAAGGTACAGCAGAGGATAAAAAGGGACAAAACAGTGCAAACCGATATCCCCCAGTTCAATGTCCACAATTTCTGGCGATGTCATACATATTTATAAGTGTACTTATATATAATGGTTCCTTTTCTGGTTCTCTTTCCATCATTATATGTATGTACAAGTGTTAACCAAATTTCACTGACAACATCTTCAGAAGAATGCACATTTTTCACAAGGTTGAGCATGTCATCTATTCATTAAAGTAATAAAAAATTATGTTTAAAAACACAAACTGTTGTTGAAGTATTCAATTTCAAGTTTACATAGTATGTTAAAGAAAATCAAAACATTCCCGTGCAAAAACCAGTCGAAGCGTAACATAAAACTTCGGAAGTTGTATGAGACGTCTGATGTTATATTTCATGGTATTTAATAATTAAAATAATTTACCATGACACTGACTATAGATGAGTAACTTAACTTCCAGAAAAAGGTAAGAATCCTGTCCTATTTTTGCCATTTTTTCACAAAAATATGAGGGCAAACTTTGATTCTTTAAAAATATACGGCTGTTATGGAAAGCGATTTGGTGCAAAATTCAAGCATAAAAAAATCTATCAGTTTCAACAAACTCAATCAACATCAACGGCTTTTTATAGTACATTCAACAAATTTAATCAACATCAACAATTTATATCTTTCAAATTCAACAATTTAAAATGCTTCTAAATCAAAGACTCAGTTTTTGTTCTCCTGATTCAACCACCCCCGTTCAACATCAACCCAAAATATTTATGTCACCTTCAAGCAAGCGAGATTTCAATCAACAAAACCCAAAACGCTGTCAACAAGCCAGTCGAGTTGTCAACAAATAGAGCTTCCACTTTAAAATGCAATTTCTGCTGATGATTTTTTAATTTCATTAAAAAGAGGAATCAAAGTGGAAGCTACTGACAATTCCCGCCATTTACTCGTTCTAGTCCATATATGGTGCTATAACTGCTATTGTGAAAAAAACATGGCGGAAGCTAGCAACCCTAGCAACAGAGACGACTTAGATGAAAGAATAAGGAGGTGTATAAGGGAAGAGCTAACAATTAATACTGGTCAACAAAGAAATTCAAATCAGGCACTTGTAGCAAGAACGCGTGATTTAATTAGATCTTCGGCAACATTTGCATCAAGACAACTTGCTGCAGTGCCTGAAGTTTTATCCTCATCGACGCCATCTGCTTCTCCAGCTGGAAGAAGTAGTCATCCATCGCACCCTCTGCGTCTTCCAAAACGAAAGCAAAATGCCCTCACCAAGAATAACATTAAAAAGAAGAAACAAGCAATTCCAAAAACTGTGTTTTTGCTGGATAAAATATATGGTGGAGATGAAGATGATGTAGACATGGCGGATCACGAATATGCCATTAAAGAAGACATGATTTTGCTGAAGGGAGAGTTTGATTTAGAGTGTGATGCTGATGAGGCAAGTATTCGATCGGAATTAAAAAAGGTGTTCATGAAGAAATTTCCATTGATATGTAAAGATAACTTTGATTTTGTAAAAAGAGATCGGAACACCATTTGCACTCCAGTTGTAAAAGAAGGCCACGTTTGGGATTATGCTCATGTGAAACATTTGTGTGGGGCTGGTAAGCTCTATGTTCGTTTAAACATTAGTAAAGATGACATAATGGATGATATTGGAAGTGACTTTGAAGTAGAGCCACTATTGATTGACTTAAGTACGCCCAGCACAATAATACCAGGCCAAACCCCGTTAAGCTCATCACTAAGACCGCAAGTAACCCCACCCAATACAAACCTAGGAGATAGGGAGAGAGACACAAGTAGTGCCAAGCCTAGCACTTCCTCTGTTGAACAATCCATCGATTTAAGAATTGCTACCCTTGGTACATTGTTTCCCACTGCAAAACAGAGTGATGTAATTGATGCAGTAATGAACTATGATAGTCTAGATTCAGCTGCTGAGCACCTAAGTGTACTGACAAGTGAGGACATGGGTGCCTGTAATGTAAATTTAACAGGTGCTGACACACTTAAGACACTTGCCCTAAAAATGAATCCCTATTCTACAGCTGAAAAGGTAAAAGTTGATAGAGAAGATCTGGTTATGGATGTATTTCACCATTATAAGGATCCTAACTTTAATCCCTCTGTTCCAATAAAATTCCAAATTAGAGGAGAGCCAGCAGTGGATGCTGGGGGTGTGTTACGCCAAATTTATGAGAGCGTGTTCCTTAAGATTGTGAAAGGTGAGGGCTGTAATGGTGTTCAAATGTTTCAAGGACCTTTCGAAAGAGTTCTACCAACCTACAGAAGTTCAACAATTCTTTCTGGAACATTTGAAATACTGGGTAAGGTTATTGCTCATAGTTTAGTGCAAGGAGGTCCTGGATTTCCATATCTCTGCCCAACATTGTACTTGTCGACTATGTCAAGAAGGAAGCATAAATATCATTATATGTATGTTACCCAGGTTAATAGCAATGGAGTAGATTTAAACATTTTAAAATTTTGTTATTTTTCATTACTAGATAAGAGATGCTACTCCCTCTACACTGAACAGTATTATGGGTGAAGATGATTTTTTGTGCTTATTGGAAAATGCTGGTGAAACAAGAATGCTTCAGGTGAAAACAACAAAAATACTAATTAAAACATATGTGAACAATCCTGTGGCAGGTTGTATAAAGCCTGTTCAGCTTAAACGGTGGTTAAGCTCAGAATGGAAAGCAAGTCTAACTAAAAACTTTTTATACTTACCAGAACGATAATGTTTACAACTCCATATTTAGTGCATTTTATTATATAATAGACAATAAGATATTAAAAATAATTAACATTTATTTACTGTGAACGAAGGAAACATGTTTTGTGAACCCGAGATCTGTTGAAATATCGATGGTCGAGGGTCAACAAAACATTTTTTTCTGAGTTCTTGGTATTATATACCACTTGTCAAAGAAAAAACAGTATATTTCCCATATCTTCACTAGTGAAGATATTTTCCAAATTTTCAAATTGAATTGAGATATGAATTTTCTCTTCAAGTGGTGAAAGCAATATTTTACGTATGAGCGCAATGAATGAGTAAAATATTGTTTGCACCACTCAAAGATAAAATTTATATCTTAATACAAACTGTGTGATAAAATTCATATTTTTGCACCACTGTATATAATATCTTCTATATATTTCAGCTAAGCAGGCGTAATACAACCGGCCCCTGATTTTAATGTCTCTGGTTTTATCCCCGTTTAACTATCACTTGGGTTTCGAATTAGTGAGCATAGTTTGTGTGCTGATATAAAAAAATATGTTTAATTTTACAGGAACAAAACAAATTACAGATTGTGCAGTCACTCCTAATACACGAAGTGATCTTGAAACATAAAATAGCCCTTGACCAAATGAGAAAGGGTTTGTCCATCTTAGGATTATTGGCAGAAATTGAAAAGTCACCTGAGAAGTTTCAATCATTTTTTGTTCATGAAGATGGTGATATTGATGGAGATTTCATTACATCACTTCTTAGGTTGCCTGATGCAAGTTCCCCATCTGTTCAAAATGTTGTTCAGTTGTTGTTGTTGTTTATTAAGAATGCAAAGGAAGGGGTTTTGCGCCAGTTGTTGTGCTTTGTCACTGGCTGCAAGTCAACCACAGCAGCTCTTAAGCCAGGTTGTGTTAGTGTCTGTGTTGAAGATATTCCTGACATATTTGCATCTACGTGTGTATTGGAGTTAAAACTGCCATTACACTTTAGCAGCAGTACCTTTGAACAATTTGAGGCTTGTGTCAATGCTGTTATAGATAGTGACACATTTACTACAGTTTAAATAAAGTTTAATGCTAAGTTAAATGGAACTCATTAGTTAAATACATTGAGTGTTTTAACAAGATATAAAACAATAGAAACTCCGTAAAAAGTAAACATTTTGAAAAATTTAATTCTGTACGTAGAAAATTATTTTTTTCAAAATGTTTACTTTTTATGGAGTTTCTATTGTTTTATATTTTACTACATTCAGTTCAAGTTGATATTACGTTTTCTTTGATGCAGCAAAATAAGCAAATAAATTTTCAACTTAACTGCAAATTTGCATAGTACCTATAACACAGAAAGCAGATGTTGAAAATATATGTGGCACAATCCATGTATTTAGTAACACAAGTTATATTCATGTAGTAGAAATTGCTACCAAAGTTGTATAATTAACAAACTGAAGGTGATACACTATATCAAGCCAGTGGCAGATTTAAGGGTAGTCAGACAAATTACTACAGCTTAAAATCGCAATCTAATTCATAGATTTTTATTTAAAAATATTCTTTTGAAAGCCATCACCAATATCGTTGTTATTAAGGTGTTTTGAATTTAAAATTCAGCTGTGTAATTTATTCTGACTACCCCTAGATCCGCCACTGTATCAAACAATTTATTTATTCAAGAATATGTTTCATGGATAATTAGTGCCAATTATCTTTTTGTTACTACAGTAGATTTGGCAGCATCTGCAGCTTGTGTTTAGTTATACTTTATGACATTGGTTTGAACATATTATGTTTTGTTCAATTCAGAAGTCCTATTCTTACATGAAGTAGGCTAAAGTATGGACTGTGTAGTTGTCTCTGTGATTAATTAAACAGTTTTTTCAGAAATGTTATCTTAATTTCATGTGCATCTATGTTTATTCAATGCCAGCATTAATAAGAAATGAAAGCGCATCTTGATACAAATCGACACCAAAGCTATCAGAGTCTTGTAATGGATTTGCATAGTTTCTTATATGGTCAAGAATATGGTCTTCTATGTCTATGTCAACATCATCTACCACAACTGTAGTTACCCCTTCATCATCGGGTGTTGGTGCATGTGGATCAAACCCAAACCATTCAAGGTCATCAACATCACTCTCTAAACCGGATATATCTGCAACTGCTGAAAAGTGATGGTTTCGCATATCCAGCATGCCATTAGTCCACATCTGAATGGGGGACCAGTTTCGCTCTGTACGCATTGAGTGTTGATTGCAGGCAGAAACAAATGATTCTAGAGCTCTGTTTATTCTAGGGGTGTATATTAAATGCAACACAAACATGTGTAACCTGTTGCCACGATCAACGATTCCAGATTCCTCCATAACCTGAAATGTATAATAGAACATATGGCACACAACACAAAAGACGTCTCTCCAAAGTCTCTCAATCCTTTGATTGTGCACTGATGTCCCTGCTATATAGCTGCCCCTGTTAGGACCCCTTCTCTCTTCCATGAGCTGCCAAACCCTTGTATTCTCTCCTCCATGATCAGATCTAACTCTTGAAGGCCAATGATACTGCTCAACAGCAGAAATAAAGCACTGCTCTAAAGTGTCACAACGATTATTTGTTGAACATTTCAAGTACACAATCAGTCTTGAAAATCCGTCTATCCCGCCATGAATAACAAACCCCCAATTGATAAGGCTATGGTGGCCATCAATGTGCCATAAACTGTTTGGCCCTGGGACTGAATAAGCTCTTCTGGAAACTGTTATAGCCCATCTTATGTGCGCATTTGTAGGATCTACACGTGCAATACTCTCTCTTACTCTTTGTCGTTGTAGCCTAACTCCAAGTGACCTCAGATGCCCATTTATAATTGAGCAACCAACAAGTGAACCATGCTGTCCACTAAATGCCCGAACAATAGTATCCAATTCTTCATCTGTTATACTTGAATATCCGGTAATCTCCTGAATACCATATTCTACCACCCTCCGTCTAATAGTCCATCTAGAAACAAGCAACATTTCGGAAATGTTTTTCCAGGTGAAACCAAACGATTTTAGTTGAATCAAAACATCTTCTTGTATATCCAACTTTGGTCTGCCCGGTGTTGTTGTTCGGATTGCAGGGGGACATTCAAGAGAATAAATTGCAACATTCGTGCATCGAGAATCAGTCGGAGATCGTGTCCATTGCAAATACAAGGCACGCATGTTTCGCAGAAGTTCTTCAAGAAATGCATTACACTCCAGACTTCTAACAGCTGGCACACTTAGCACTTGTTGAAGCACAACAATCACATTCTCCATTCGTGTTAAAATATTTTCCCTAACAGCCACATTGGACGTATAGCGATGGTGTTCGTACTCATCTAGCAGCTCCAAAATCGATCGAAATACTTGTTCCCAGCCATGTAAATATTGTTCTGTGTCCTCAAAGTTTGGGTTGTCCGCCATCTTTATTTAAATAGACCCTCTATTTCGCGCACAAATCTGATTTCGCACATGCGCAAAAAAAACAAAAATACACGTGAGAAAAACAAAAACGGATGCTTTTCGAGTGGTGCTGGATGCATAAAATTCTGATATTTCAAAAAAAATCATCAGAAGAAATTGCATTTTAAAGTGGAAGCTCTATTTGTTGACAACTCAACTGGCTTGTTGACAGCGTTTTGGGCAAAGAGTACACACCTAAAAATCTCACATCTTGCTGACAACTTGTTGGCTCAACAAGCTTGTAGCAAGCTTGTTGACAAGTTGTAACAAGCTTGTTGAGACAACAGGCTGTAGCAAGCTTGTTGACATCAAGCTTGCTACAACTTGTTGGCTTGCAGACTTGTAGCAAGTTGTTGGAACAACTTGTTCCAAGCTTGAAATATACGTCAGTATATTTGCAAATTTCCCTGCTCTTTTCAAGAGTTCACTGATTCACCTGGTCATTGAGCAATCTTTGTGCCAAAACCTTTGATTTTTTAAGCCTTTAAAAGTTTAATAAACGTTGAAATATCAGTTAAAAACGGATGGGCAACTTAAAAAAGTTTGAAGAATACTACAGTTCGACGTTTTAATAAAGGTATGTGCGTTTAATTCATCCAAATATTTGATATGGCGTACACAACGCCGGCAACACAATTTATTATAGTACACAAGCTAGCCTTTTAAAACTATATAGTTTTTAAAATATTTGTTGAATTTATTGCTTTTTATAAACATTGAACTGTTAGTTTCTGTGGATATTTATCAAAATCGAAACTTTGCCGGGTTTTTGTATTCAATAATTCAAATATTTTTAATGACGAGTAGGTGTACGGTAAAGTGCAAAATTTCCTATTTTTAATATCTGTGCGTATGTTTTTAGCATGCTCTGATTAGAAATAATAATATATATTTACGTATTATGGTAATAAAGTATTTGTACATAACTTATTTGACATTAGACTTGGATGGCAACACCCTCGCCACAGGAGACAGGATGGAGTTTCCTCAACGTATTTGCAAACCAGTTAAGTAATAGTCCAGACAGTTATATTAGAAATTTATGTAAAATTGTATAGCCTAGAAAAGTTAAACCGATTGCCACCATGTACTCAAAAACATACTTTTACATTTTCATGCTCAACAAACTCAAGATATATGTGTATGCGTTTTTGAAACAACACATCCGGACCTGCTCGCTTGAAAGTCGTGCGTATTGAGGCGTTCAATATTCTGTCCCAGCATTGGTGCGCATTCACCATTGGTGCGCATTCTAGCTGTTGATTCTTGGGATGACAAAGTCAATTCAACAAGTGACTGAAATACTGGTATTTACAAGAATATTCATGCACCAGTTAATTTTTACCATATGAATGCAAAGAAACTTTTCTTACGAACTGATTATTAGGCTATATACTCAGAAAGGAAAATACATATGTTCTTGTACTGAGCCTTTAGTTATCTTGGTACTTCAAATGTGAAGTTTGTATTTAATTGCTAACCTTTGAATTTGTTTTCACAATAATATGATTTTTACATCAAACTTTGTGTTGTTTGTTCTTTGTTTCACAATCTCCGGGAAAACACGCGTGTTTTCAAGCGAGATTTAATGCGTGGCCATGTTTGCAGCAAGCTTGTCGCGACAAGCTTGTAACGGCCTTGTTATAACAAACTTGGAACAGCTCAAGTTCAACAAGCTTGTAGCAAGTTGTTGTCAGACTTGTAGCAAGCTTGTTGGCAACAACCTTGGTACAGCATTGTCACAACAAACTTGCTACAAGTCTGACAACAACTTGCTACAAGTCCGTCACAACAAGCTTGGGACAAGCAGTGCGAACACAACCTGATATCGGCTTGTTGGAACAAGCTTGCTACAAGTCTGCTGCAGACTTGTTACAACTTGTGCGTTTTTACGTGTGTAGATATTATAAAGAGGTTTCACTCAGGCGAAAATCGGTCACACGCATAGCTGAGCCACACTACGCATGCGTAATATTCCAGCCAGTACCTTTGTCGTTTTTAATGAGGAAAACACCAATTTTTATCACAAAAACAACGATTTTAAAAAAACTATCCAAGCAATTTGCTGTTTTGTTACAAGTTCAAAACAATGGGTTGGGATGGACATTTTGAACAACAAATTGGGCTGTGAACAGTACTTGAACACGGCGAAAACGTAAAATTATACCCGAAGGAGTGAAGTTCGAACAGAACCTAGAATGTTTAGTGTTTACAAAGTCAAAAGACGAGGAAAAAGTTGTTTTATATGAGACTTAATGTGCTGCCTTGTGTAGTTTCTGTGGGAAAAAGCTCAGATGTTGTTGAGAAATGACGGTTCGGGATATTTTGTATGATAATGTAGTGGTAAGAACTTAAATTCACTTCTTGTAAATAGTGAAAAACTTGCGAAGAACAACAAAGAACAGCACTTGACCGAAAGTGTCTTTTTTTCCTAAATTCCCCTGTTTTATCCGTCTTTGTGCATTATTTTATTGATAATTTTTATGCTTGTAACTTATTTTCTTCTCTGTCGTGTCTTTTGTACATTAAATACTAAATAAAACGTATAAACACAAGAATAACAAACATTTAAT